TTGGGTTCAATCTGCAGTGCAAAATAATAATAAAAACAAAGTTTCTGGCCAGACGGTCTGAGTTCAACATCTTGGTTCTTCCACTTTCTGTTTGTCTGTGGTACTAAGGATTGAGCTTGATGGGCCCCTGCCACTGAGCTATATCTCCTGCCCTCTTTTTTTATTTTTTTGAGACAGAGTCTCCCTAAGTTGCCCAAGCTGACTCCAACTTGTGATCCTCCTGCATCAGCATCCTAAGAAACTTGGATTATAGAAGGCCACGCGGCTTAGCTCTACCACAGCTTGTGAGCAAATTACTTAATTCTCTGAGCTTCTGTTCTCTGGGTGCTTCGAAGATAAGTGTAGGATAATAGTAATATCTATCTTTTCATCTATAAGATAATAGTAGTTGTTAGGTTGGTGGCAACTTAGTGGCAACTTAGAACAAAGCAGCCCTCACAGGAAAAGAACATCAATCAGATGCCGGTGGAAACGCCTGTCAATCAGCAGGACCCCCTGGCCAATCCTGGAGTTCAGCCAACTCCCCTGTCCAACTCCAAGTGGGCAAGAGACCCTAGGAACACCTTTTCCTGTCCCAAGCCCTTCCCTTCCTGCTGAAAGCCCCATAAAAGTCCAGTCCGGTCGAGCTTCCATGCGGTTTCTCCTCAGACCCTTCCCCTGTCCTCTCTGTGGGTCTGATTGAGTTCTACCCGGGAGTGATATCTCAATAAAGCCTGTTCAGCGGCTCTTTTAAATCTGCCTCCTTTGGTTGCTGCCTCCCCAGCCTGATCTGACAGTAGTATCTATCTTTTAGGGCTGCTCTGACAATGATGATGGAGGTGATGATACTGATTTTGGTGCTGGGGAGTGAACCCAGGGCCTTGCATGTGCTAAACACTTACTCGACCACTAAGCTACACAGCCAGCTGATGTTAAGCACTCCAAAATGTTGACTAAGAGAAGAAAACACATATCTACTTGTATTTTTCACCCCCTCTGGATCTCTCACAGTTTCCAGGTTGATCCCTCTGAAGAAACACCTTCCCTTTTACCACCTAATTCCCATTTAGGACTCAAATACCTTCCCCCAGCAAGTGTCCCTCTTATATAAGGCTGCTGTTTGTTAAAAGCTTTTATAACACCCATTACTCCTTTGTAATGCAGCGCTTATCTTAGTCTACATTGGCTGTGTGTGTGTGTGTGTGTGTGTGTGTGTGTGTGTGTATGTTAACCTGACTCCCTCCCCCCTTTTTTTTGGTCTTGGGAATCGAATCCAGGGACACTTAATCACTTAACCACTAAGCCACAACCCCAGCCCTTTCCATTTTTTGAGACAGGATCTTGCTAAGTTGCTTAGGGCCTCAATAAATTGCTAAGGCTGGCCTTGAACTTTCGATCCTCCTACCTCAGACTTCCAAGCTATGGGATTATAGGCTTGCACCATCGCGCCTAGGTCGCATAACTCGGTGTAAACTTCTTTAAGGCAGAGGCTGAGTTTTTTCAGTTATTTAGCCTCAACCCCTCTCCTCTGCCTAGCACTCAGCAGCTCACACTAGCCCCAGGCATCCCTTAACTACATCATATCTCCTCCAACTCCTGGAACCAAGCACCTGAACCCTCTGTGGCTGTGCTGTTCCCTCTTACCTTCAGCTACCATTTGACACCCCACCACCAAAGTGCCTTCTAGCTGGACCTCAGAACCCCTTTTTGGTGCCCCTACCCAGTGGTGCCAAGAAGCCTGCACTGGCCTGCCCYACCCTGCAACATGGTCTAGGTGTCTTGTGGAGCAGCTGTCTTGTCTCTGCCTTGGTTTGCCTGAGCTAAGAAAGCTTTCCCAACAGGATCTCAGGCCCAATTTTGCTTCCAGCGCAGTATGGCTTCTGCCCATGGGTGTGTGATCTCCCATAAGGACACCATCTTCTGGAAGACTGTCTTATATTCAAGTTCTCCTCAGGACCAAAGACAAGGGCATCTTCTTCCATTTCTATGTGTACAAGTCTCCCAGGTGACAGCTTCTTGCATGCTTGGCCTGAGGGCCACACATGGCTCTGATTCATTTGCAGAAGGAGCAGAACATAAAGTCCTTGGGGAAGGTGGGCACTGCCTGGGTCTCCATGGGGCTCTCAAGAGCAAGGCTAGTATTGCCTGGGAGCCTGTATCACCCTGAAGGGACCATCCAGCTCATCCACTAATTCTCCCTAGTGTTGAGACTGGGGTGGATTCAGCAGAGAAAGAAGAATAGAGGTTAGTGGCTCAGATAGTCCACCATGCGACCAGCACACTGATTTCATTAATGAGGTTCTTGGCATAAAAGTTAGCTAGCAGAGATCGAAATAAAACACACAGACTCAGTTACCTTTTTCTATGACCAGGTCCGAGATGGCACCCCTCTCTGGCTCCCACCTCGAACCACCCATAGGGCAGCAAGGATTACTCAGGGCTAGCAGGAGAGAGAGAGAGCGAGCACACTAGGGAGTAGCCTTTTATTGGGGAACAAGAAATTCAGGGGAGAATTCCATCCAATGAAGGTTGAGGGGGGGCCGCACTCCAAGATCAGGGTCAGTGATTGGGCCCAGGGTCAGTGGTCAGGCACACCCCCACACGGACGGGTTCTCTCATCAGGAGAGGGCCGGGAAAGCTCCCACACAGCCAGAATGCCTCAGACCCAAACCGGGAGTCACCCAGTCACGAATGAGAATGGCTCCCCACAAGACAGGAAGAAACAGAGCTGGGACCCAGCTGGAGTGTCCTATGGACTACACTGTTGTGACAGTGTCTGTGCTTTCTATATTGTCCTTGTGCATTTTCACCCTGAAGTTTCTGGGAAAGACCAAGCCATCTCTATTATGCTAAGTGGTTTAAGCAAGGCAGAGGGTTGGGGTTAAGGGCTCAGGTGCTCCAGGAGGCAGGATATCCCCTGGGGGCCAGTGTGATTGGAATTAAAAGGATGGAGTTAAGGGGTGGGGTGAGAACCCTGAGCCTGTCTTGAAAACCTGCTCCCCAGTGGCTGCCCCACACCCCAGCTCTCCTCAAGCTCTCTTTGCAGAATGAGTGGGGCATCTGTAAGAATGCTTGTATGTGTGACCCTTAAACACCCTCACTTCTTGGAAGAAGTTTTACAGACTTTCCTAATCTGCAGGGGAACAGTGTCAACCACATGAAAATTCTGTCAATAACAAGGGACCTCTTTTAGAAGCAGAGATGTTTTCTCCTGCAGGAATGGGTGTGTGGGGACGTGGGTCACTGCTGTGACAGGGACAGTCTGCAGCCATAAGGCTGAAAGGCTTCATTCTCAAGGCCCCAGGTAACGTCAGAAACCCGGGGGTTATAGCCTGAGGGAATCATCCTGCACATCCTCCCCACCCCCAGCAAGAGTAGGAGGATGGCGCTGCAGTGATGGCAAGGCTGACTGCTTCCTGGTGCGGGGAAGTCGCTGCAGTGATGGGGGAGCGTCGCTTGGGGTGAGTGGTCACTGAAGTGACCACAACTGCTAAAGGTACCTGCAGAAATGGGGGAGGTTTTCTGCAGTAATTAAAGAGCATTTTGCAGAAGAAAGGGGCTGGCTTTAGGGGGGAAGAGTCCTACGGTGATGGGGCGCTGGGGTTCGCTGCAGTGTGAAGGGAGGGTCACTGCAGTGATGGGAAGCCTACTCAGGGCGGGGTGTGGGTGGGCAGGGTAGGGTGATAATGGGATGGCTGGGGTCGCTACAGGGGTGGGGGTTGCAGACTGAGCGGCTCTGCCGCGCTCGCAGGCTGCCTCACCTCCCCAAGGATTGAAGGGGTGGGGCCTCTGAGGCATCGGTCCCTCGCTGATGGGGGCTGTGCGGCGGCGGGTACGCGGGCCCCGCACTGCGGTGCACTGCCTGGCTCCCGCCGCCGGGGCTGGAGCTGAGGCAGTACCGCGCCCGCAGGAGGGGGAGCGCGGCCCAGTCGCAGCGGCGGGCGGGGCGAGGCGGGCGAGTGGGGCGGCCTCTGGGAGCGGGGGCGGGACCACCACCAGCACTGCCCGCGCCCCAGCTAGGATCACAGCGACCGCTGCCGGAGTCCCGAGCCGGCTTTCCGAAGGTGCCGGAACTCACTGCGAACCTGAACTCAGAGGCTGCACAACCCACCCTTTTCGGTTCGCGACGCCCAGAACTCCGCGGAGGAGCCACGGTGAGATTGGGACTGCCCGCAGGGAGGGGGACCGATCCTAAATCTCAGCCCCCAGCATCCTCTGTGGAGACCGCGGCGACTGCAGCAGCTCCCCACTCCCAGATCAGCTCTGCCAGGGTGGGGAGAGGTGCACTGGATGGATCGCACAGACTCCCCCTGCTCCGACGCCTTTCTCGTCTGGCCTCCCAAAAGACCCCTTCTTTTCGCTTCCCTGTCTCATTCTTTTTACCCCAAACCCTCCCTTCAGGTCTGCAGCCCTTCGCTGCAGATAAGGTACAGGAGAAACTGCAGTCTTTTCGACTCCCCATCCTCTCCTGTCCCTTGCTGGGCTGGGGGCACCCGGGAGGATGCTGGCCCTTTAAACCTTTGATCCCCACCCCGAACATCTTCCATCTCCACCCGCGCCACTTCCGACAGCTGGCAGCCACGGGGAGCCCCGGGGGGCCCGCAGGTACAGGGGCGGTGGTGAGGCTCCAGCGGGTGATGGAACAGCTGTGACAACCCCCTACCCCCACCCCCAGAGGAGCCAGCGGCGGGACTGTAGGGCGCCGGGAGTGCCGGTTAATCATTAACCCTCCGCTCCCCGGGACTCCGTGCTGCCCCGAGCTGCGCTCCGCCCGGCTTCCCAGGTAACGGGCAAAGCTGTCCAGGCCGCCATCCCTGCACCTCCCTTTCTTATCTTCCCTGCCACCTGTCAGCCTGGGAAAACCGCGCGGCTCAGCCTTGTGCCCCTTGCAGGCACGCGTCCTAGTGCCTGAGTTCAGCTCTGGAGACTGGCTTTCAGGAGCTCCGGGCGCGGCACACGGGACTTGCGCTGCACACCGGCTTCACGATACCCCGCTCCCTCAGGGCCGACCGGTGGGCACCATGCCCGGCCTCTACTGCCCCTCCAGCTGGACCCCGCTACCCCTCACCGACTCCTGGGTCCGGGCCTGCGCCAACGGACCCTGCCTCAGCCTGCGGGCTCGGCTCACCTACCACAACCCGCAACCGCAGCCAGTGGACGGTGAGGCCGGGCGCTGGCGCGGGAGGTGGGAGTGGGTGCCGGGTGGGGTCCGACGCCGCCTCCTGCCCTCCCCTCCCGGCAGGCGTGTTCGTGTACCCGCTGGCGGAGGCCGAAGTAGTATCAGGCTTCGAGGCCGAGGCGGCCGGACGGCGCGTCTCCTTCCAGCTGCAGAGCCGGCGCCGTTTGCAGGCTGCCTGCTGCCGCGCGCTGGGCCCAGGGTTGGGGACCTCCACGCCCCGCCGCTGCGCGCAGGGTGAGTCCCGGGCGCCTGTAGCCCGAACTCCTGAACACCAGCGGAAGCTCAGGTTCCTGCTCTTGCTCASTCTCCCGCCCCTCCCCCACCTTCATCCAGGCGCTTTTTTGTTGTTTTTTCATCCATTGATTCATCCCTTTATCCAACAGTCGTGGACTGGGCACCTGATCTGCTCCAAGTGCTCTGGGAATGTGGCCCAGACCTGGGAGACAGACACAACAGGCGGCACAAAGCTGGCTGAGACACCACCCGTCCTTACTACTCAGGTGGCCATAGGCTCTCCAGGGTGTGGCAGAAGAAGCAGACCTGCCCCCAGCTGACCCCCACAGCCGCTCATCTTTTAGATTACACACCTTCTCTGCCAGGGCGGTGTAAACCAGTCAGCTCCTAGATCAAGTGCAAACTTCTCTGCCCAGGAGCCTAGGTCCTCATTCATTACATTCTGTTCCTCTTGCCGCGCTCCTATACTAGGTACCACAGGCACTGGCCTTACTGACAAGTCCTTTTACACCTCACTGTTCTATCTTCCCATCTTCTAATGAGCACATTTGTACTTGTCCTTTAAGATCCACTCAATCGTCACTCTTGAGGAAACCTGCCCTTACTTCACAAATAATTAATTGCACTCTTCCCTTCTCCCCCCAGTCTTCCTTCCTCCCACCTCATTACAGCACTTATTAGGGGGAGTAATTGTCACAGACTTGCATGTCTTGTCTCCCCCTTTGAAGAATTATCTCCTGAGTTTAGGACTGTGTTTTGGCCATCTCTGAGTCCCAGTATATCACACAGAACCTGGCATAAAGGGGCTCAGTGAGTTCTATGGGAGGAGATGGGAGTCCAGCTCTGGGCTAGGTTCTGTGGCTTGATTGTCATTCTTTCCTTTGTTCATTCATATATTCATTGACCCTGCCCATGGGATTCACCATCTAGATAAGAAGAGAGAATCCAGTGGTGTTCAGAGTTGGCATAAGCCCTGCAGATAGTTAAAGGCAAAAGTGAGTTCTGGGCTCAGGCCCCAGGAATGTTCCAGAAGGAAGAAGAGCCAGCATTTGACTGAAAGAAGGTTAGGGCTTGGTGGAGTGGAGAGTAGAGGCAATGGTATAAACAAAGGTTTGTAAGTAGGTTATACAGGGAATGGTGATACGATGCCTCAGGTTTGTAGTGATTTACAGTTTACAAAGCCCAGGCACTAGTATCACCTTATTCGAATCTGGGAGAGGTATGTAATGTACATTGTTCCTGTCCCCCTTTTATGGGTGATGAAAATGGTAGCAATGGCTACTTACTTGTATGTTGGGTGCTTTGCATACATTATCTCATTTATTCCTCACCACAGTCTTCGAGAGATAGTTATTATGACCCCCATTTTATGGATGAAAACACCGAGGCTCCTAAGATGGTTGTTAGAGGACACAATTAGAAATCACAGACTGAGACTCCAAACCCAAATGCTGTATTCTCTCCACTGTATTAGGTCTCTTTTTCTTCACTTATTCAGCAAGTATTTCTCAAAAGGATGAMTATTTATTATTGTGGGGAAGTGAAGTAAAGTAGGGCTATAAAGGTGGACGGGGGCAGACTGTGTAGGTGGTATACAGCAGCAGTGGTGACTACCCCAACAGTCCTCAAATGAACCTACCATCTAAATAAAACATGTGCTCAGCATGCAAATGCGGTTTATTTCCTCTAGTCTGATTCCAAGCAGATTGCTGTCTTTAAGCTCCTCTCAGGGGAGAAAAGTCTGGAATTATTTTAATGGGCATGAGGAGTCCCTGATGGTTCATTAGCAGGGGATTTGTGGGTCCTAGATGTAAGGAAARTGTTGGTCCACAAGGGAGAGTCCTTTAGAAAGATGGTATCCAAAGGCTGAATGGGAAGGAGCAGGCAGGGCAAGAGAGGCAGATGGTATAGTTCCCCCAGGACCTTGAGAATGGATATCCTCCTTCTCATCAGTCCTCCTTTAGCAGTGAGGTCATTGCTCCCTTGCATGATGATAGCTAGATCCCTCCATGCCCAAACTGCCTCTGCTATCACTGTTCATCTCACGTGTCCATCCTGCATCACTAACGCATTAACACAATCTCCTGTAAACTGTACAAAGTCCACTTTGCCCAGACTCCCTGACTCATTGCTGATCCCACCTCTATTTTCTCCCATTCCCTTCGCTTCCAGCCCCCTCTGATCCCTTTTTTCACTTATCATAGGTCATCTTGTCTTGGATCTGGCCCAGGCCCGGTCCACGTTGGTGCTGCCCACGGGCCTTATCGCTGCAGCTGGCACCATGACAGTGACCCTGTGCAGCAGCCGGGAGCTGCCCTCCAGGCCTGATGGGGTACTGCGTGTGGCTCTGCCCACTGTGCTCACCCCGCTGGCCCCACCAGGCCCACCAGGGCCCCCCAGGCCTCCGGGGCTCTGTGACGACAGGTTGGGCCTATGGTGATTCTCTTCGTCCCTCCCTCGGCTTCTCTGGGTCTAGTGCGGGTGAGGGGTCTCAGCACGATGCCCCGGGAGATGGATAGGGTGAAGAAGGGTGGGGGCAATCAGAGGGGATAGGGGCCTTCATGGTGGCCCAGTGACCCTCCTCATGCTCCCTTCCAGCCCCACGAGCTGCTTCGGGGCAGGCAGCCCTGAGGAGGAAGGGCTGGCCTGGGAGGAGCCACCTGCCCCTCCAGACGTGTTTTCAGGCCCTGCCCGCTGTCCTGCCCCATATACTTTCTCCTTCGAGATGCTGGTGACTGGGCCATGCCTGCTGGCAGGTGGGTGCATCTGACCTGGCCTGACCCATCCATCCCCCTGTAGCAGACTAGGAAATAATTCAAAGCTTAGGGATGGCAGGAACAGAGGACAAAAAGAAGACAGGGACCTAAGCCTTAGGAACCTTCAGTCTGACGGTAGAGCATCCCCTGGCCACTTCTACCCAACCTAGTTTTATTAATGTAGTTTATTTATATCCAACTCCACTCACCAATGGCAAGAGAGAGATTTACTATGGGACCAGTCTCAGTGCTGAAGTGGATCTTCTTTGTGCAAGARATGGAGAAGAATGCTAATTGGCTGGTGTATAATCCTTTCACTAGCTGGGAACAGACCTGAGAACACATGTCCCAGCCCATGGAAATAGATTCTCCCTTGTCCATCAGACCCTATAGATCAGATTCCAAGAGCTGAACTGGACCAGCCATAGTCCCAGCCCACAGCAACTGTCATCAGAGAAGGAGATATCTGTGACCTTAACACTGGTTTGGGGTGAGATGGTCATCATTCCTCCCTGCCTTTCTGTCCCTCAGGCCTGGACAGCCCCTCTCATGCCCTGCGGGCAGATGCCCCCCCTCATGCCAGCTCTGCAGCCACCATCTGTGTCACACTGGCAGAGGGTCACTTATGTGACCGGCCCTTGGAGATCCTGCTATACCCCAGTGGTGAGAGACACGGACCCACAGTGGGCCAGCCCTGACCTCCTTAGGAATAACCTAAGCAGTTTTCAAGTATAAATTTTTGGGCCCCAGGCAGATGGACTGAATCATCTCAGTGAGGGTGGTGCAAGGAGGCTGGACCTGCAGGGTCCTCTTAAAACAAGAGGACTGGATAGTTGAGGAAGTCCACGGRCAGGGACTTCCCTGACAGAGTTATATCCCCTCTTCTCAGAGCCCCATCAACCACACTTGATACTGGAGGCTGGCAGCCTGAGTGCATCAGAATATGAGGCCCAGGTGAGGGCCCGCCGGGATTTCCAGAGGCTGCAGCGAAGGGACAGTGATGGGGACCGGCAGGTATGGCTTCTGGCCTTCATGCTAACTGCACATATSCATGACGAGCAGGCAAGCAGTTGCACCTTGGGAAGGGTGGGGCCTCTTTTTGTCTCAGTCCAGCCCACTATGGGACACATGAGTATCATCATAGGAGGACCCACATAAGTCTCTCTAGGATATGTCTCAGAGGATGGAGACCACGTCTGACATAGGCATAGTTCAGCCACCTGCCTTTTCTCCTGACTTTATTCAGATCACTACAAAAAGGCACCCTCTCTAAGTGAATCAGATAGAAACAGGGCCAAGTCCCACTGCCTACCTTGGATAGATCTGCACTAAAACCTGGCCCAGTTTGATTTGGGGCTCCTGCACTTAGGTGTGGTTCCTGCAGCGACGTTTCCATAAGGACATCTTGCTGAACCCTGTGCTGGTACTGAGTTTCTGCCCGGATCTGAGCTCCAGGCCTGGACACCTGGGCACAGCTACCAGGGAGCTTCTCTTTCTGTTGGATGGCAGCAGCGCAGCACACAAGGCTTGTGGGGATTGTGCAGCAGCCCTGGGCTTGGGTGGGGCAGCAGTCTGAGGTGGGCTGGAGGCAGGCTTTCAATGCTGGGAGTTGCCTTGTTGCTTAAAACATCAACTTCAGAAAAGAACCTGACAGAAACTCCTTAGAGATATATCCCTTAGAGAGTGATCCTTTCCCAACTGTCCTCCTCCCCGGCCCCAGTCTCTCTTTCTCTTATACAATATTTGTCTCTTCTGGATTTGAAGAGCTTCTCTCCTGTACAGTCACATTGAGACCTGATCATAGAGACCCAGGTTTCACACATGCCTGCAGAGTCCCATGTATAAATGTGTCTCACATACATTCAGAGGCTGCCTCACACTCCCAAGGTCCCACAGTCTCACACACTCAGGCCTCTCCTAGGTGACTTCATCCAGACCTCATTTTAATCATGGCCTGGAGAAGGCAAGCATTTTGGAGTTCCTTGTTCTCTGCCAGTGTCTGTAGGACCTGCCTCATGCTGCCCTCTCTGGCCTTCTCCAGGATGCCATTGTTTTGGCTGTGAAGTCCCTCCCAACTCAGACACTTGTCAACCTGGCCATGTTTGGGACTTCGGTGCAGCCACTCTTCCCAGAGAGCCGGTCTTGCAGCGATGTGAGTGTGGTCCAAGGATTTGGGGCCCTTACAGAGATGTTTCAGGCCAACCCAGCCCAGCCTTGCCTTCTCCCTCCAGGACACTGTGCAGCTGATCTGTGAGAGCATTGAGACCCTGCAGGCTGGGAGTGGTCCACCAGATATACTGGCTGCACTGGACTGGGCCTTGGGGCAGCCCCAGCAGAAGGCCCATCCTCGCCAGCTGTTCCTGCTCACTGCTGCCTCGCCCATGGCTGTCACTACTCACCAAACCATGGAGCTCATGAGGTGGCACAGAGGGGCAACCAGGTATGGAGTGGGCAGAGCCAGGTGCCTAAGATTGATCCCTCTCCCCAAAAGGCTTCTGAAGGTCATAGCTGCTCCCCTTCCCTGTCAGGTGCTTCTCCTTTGGGCTGGGGCCTGATTGCCACCAGCTGCTCCAGGGTCTGTCTGCCCTCAGCAGAGGCCAGGCCTACTTCCTGAGGCCTGGAGAGAGGCTGCAGCCCATGGTGAGTTTGAGCCTGRATCCTGTTCTATATTTTTAGTAATCCTCCTAAATTATACATCAAATCTGAAATAGAACCTAGTCAGGCCATGGGGTCTCTTGGTACCCTCACTAGGACTTCTCCCTACTCTAAACCTTCCTCTCCTTGAGGAGATGCCAGCCAGGAGAAGAACTGTTGGTACTGCTGTGGGATGCTGTGGAAGACGAAAGATATGCGGACACAGCATCTGACTATCCCCCAAATCTTACTCAGTTTTGTTTTGTGTCTGAGCCTTATCCTCATGAAGTCTTGGTTCATCCATGTGGCAAAGCTCAGGCCAGGAGAAAGATCAAGCCCCCAGGACTAAGCTCTCAGTCCCCTTGCTTGCTTCTACCCCCATTACTTCTCCTGACCCCAGACTAACTCTGTTCTCCATCAGCCCAGAGTTAGACAAAAGGCAGCTGGGGAAAGGCAGCCTGCCTGAACTGTCTGGATGTGACACTCCTTTCTGATTTCCTCCCTCTGGTCCCTCCCCACAGCTGGTGCAGGCTCTGCGGAAGGCACTGGAGCCTGCTTTGAGTGACATTTCTGTGGACTGGTTTGTGCCTGATGCCGTGGAGGCTCTCCTGACTCCCAGGGAAATCCCAGCACTCTACCCTGGGGACCAGCTGCTTGGTTACTGCTCACTCTTCAGGGTGGATGGCTTCCGGCCCCACCCTCCAGGGGTAGGCCTGGGCTAGGTGTGATAGATGGACCTGGGTGGCTGAAGTCCCTGCATCTCTTCAAATTCCTTATTCCCTTTCCTATCTCTCTCTCTGCCAAGCTCCCCTACAGTTCCTAGGGCCCCAAAGAGATCACATTGGGATCTCCAAGGTAACTACATCTTGCCCCCCTCATGAGGTCTTCCACTGCCTTATAAAATGTTGCCCTTAGTTTTCACCAGAAGTCATTAAAACATAGCCATCAAAAAACTCCAGCATTTGCTGTGAGGTTTATGTTAAAACTTGCTCATTACTTCAAACAGTGCCTTACAGAAAGCATCATTTGGGAGCTGGGATGTAGCTCAGTGATAGAGTGCTTGCCTAGCATGCATGAGGTCTTGGGTTTGATGCCCAGCACCACAAAGATAAAATAAAACCCACATCTAAACACTCAGTGACAGATGAGCTTAGTGTAGGTGCAATCTCAAATCCCAGCTCTGCCACTGGCTAGCCACTTGATTTGGGCAAGTCACTTAACTTCTTTGTGCCCATTTCGTCCTATGTAAATTAAGTTTTTCATAGGTACAATGCCCTTAGCATGATACTTAAAACATAATAGGAATGTGAGGAAAAGTAGGTTCTTTTTTTTTTTTTTTACAAAAAAACCTCTTTCTTCAGAACTAAACATGCTTCCTCCTTTTTTGACTACGAGAGTTATATAATGGTTTTTGTTGTTATACCAGAATTGAACCCTCAAGGGTACTTAACCGCTGACCCACATCCCCAACCCTTTTTTATTTTTTTGAGACAAGGTTTGCTAAGTTGCTTAGGGCTTCACTAGGTTGCTGAAGCTTGCTCTGAACTTGAAATCTTTCTGTCTCAACCTCCCAAGTCACTGGAATTACAGGTGTGTGCTTGTATGCCCAACTACAGTTTGCTTTTTTGCCTGGCTGCCAGAAAGCTCAAGACAAACCTGAAGTTCAACTCCACAGCAGCTCTATTAATCCTTATGGTTAACATGTTTCCTTCTTCCTTRGTACTGGGTTTTTATTTCTTGCAGTGAACCATCTTAAAATCCCACTTGGAAAGAGGTAGTATATAGCTACAATCAATTTTTTTCCTCAATGCTATTCTCCATAGTGCCAAGAGCCTGGCTGGCAGAGCTTGGGTGGTTCTGTGTTCCCATCCCCAGAGGAGGCACCATCTGTTGCCACCCCTGGCACTGAGCCCACTGGCACCTCAGAGCCACTGGAAACACGCACTGTGTCAGCAGAGCTGTCCAGTCCATGGGCTGCTGGGGACTCAGATCAGAGTGAGTACTCTAGTGTATGTGTATGGCTGTGTAAGAGAGGACAATGGGAAAGGTCAGGGCTAGGGCCCATTCTCCTGCCTCCAGCAGGTACTGATGCTCTGACAGACCCAGTCACAGATCCTGGACCCAATCCGTCCAATGACACAGCCATATGGCGCCGCATCTTCCAGTCTTCATACATCCGGGAACAGTATGTGCTTACCCACTGCTCTGCCAGCCCTGAGCCAGGCCCGGGTTCCACAGGCAGCAGTGAGTCTCCTGGCTCCCAGGGCCCTGGCTCCCCMGAGGGCTATTTTCCCTTGGATCCTCCCTCTCAGCAGGGCTGCCGCAGCCTGGCCTGGGGAGAATCTACAGGCTCCCATTCCTGCCCGCTGCCTGCACCACCACAGTCTCCATTCAAGGTGAGATCCAGCCCACATTCAACCATCATGTATCCAGYGTTTATTTACCACCTGTTGTGTGCCAGACATTATGCAACGTTTATCAAGTCTAGATAGATAAATGGCTAAATTTATAATGATGATACCATGCAATAATCAGTGATGAATATTGGGGCTCCAAATTAGGATGGCTAATTCTGTCAGAGGGAGCCAGGAAAGTAAAAGCCATGTCTGGAATAAGTAGAAGAAGTTAACTAGGCAAAGAAGGGGATATAAACAAAAACAGATAAACAACAACCTGAAGTGGGCAATAGGGAGTAGAGTGAGATGACAAGGGGCATGTAGCCCACCATGTATTTTTGAAGGCTGGGGATTCTGCAGCCCCTGACCAGTGGCCCCACATCTCTCATGCAGGCAGGAGCCCTGAGTGCTGAGGTGCTGGGCCGTAGGCATAGAGCAGCTCTGGCTGGCCGAAGTCTCTCATCTCCACCAGGCCGGGCAAACCCAGTCCCTTGCCGACCCCGGCAACCTTCTCTGGGTGCAGTACCAGATGTGCCAGGCCCTGAGTCAGGCCAACAGCTTGGGCAGGGCCTGGACGACTCAGGTAAGGGCTGGAAATGGAGCTGGGTTCTCTAATATCAAGGAGGCTTGGGGAGGGCTGGGGATGTGGCTCAAGTGGTAGCGCGCTCGTCTGGCATGCGTGCGGCCCGGGTTCGATCCTCAGCACCACATACAAACAAAGATGTTGTGTCCGCTGATAACTAAAAAATAAATATTAAAATTCTAAAAATAAATAAATAAATAAATAAATAAATATTAAAAAAAAAAAAAAGGAGGCTTGGGGACATGGAGCCCAAGGCACTACACTGCCAATGTCCCTGCCATCTTTTCTCCCTAGGAAACCTGCTCTCCCCAGCCCCCATGGACTGGGACATGTTGATGGAACCACCCTTCTTGTTCACAGCTGTGCCCCCAAATAGGGAACCAACCCCTCCAGCAGTTCCAGTGCCTCCCCAGGCTCCACGTTGCCATGTGGTGATCCGGGGCCTGTATGGGGAGCAACCAATGTGCTGGGAGGTGGGTGTTGGGCTGGAGACACTGTGGGGACCTGGGGATGCCTCAAAGCCTCCATCAACTGCTGTAAGAGAAGCTGCTTGGGACCAAGCACTTCACCGACTGACAGCAGCCTCAGTGGTCCGAGACAATGAACAGCTAGCGCTCCGAGGAGCTGAGACCACAGCTGACCGGGGTGAGTTGCTAGTGGCCCAGTTGGAGCCCAAGGGCATGGGACAGAAAGCAGCAGAGGTATGTCTCTGTTAGATCACTCTTTTCCTCACTTTGCTYATAAAGGATTCAGGTGGCTTGAGATTAGAAATCAAGCAGGACAATGGGAAAAAATGAAAATAAAGGGAGCCAAGAATTAGGTTATATTAACAATGTATACCATGAAGTTGTATATCCATAAAAGCATGGGACCCAAGCCTGATAAGCTTCCTAGCTGCCAATACAGAGGAAAATATGATTTTGTAATAATTATCAGTGCCTGCAACACAGAAACAAATCTTTGTCATTCTGAAAATGACTATTACAATTAGTTAAAATTCTAGTTCCTTGATTGCATCAGCCACACTTGAAGTGCTTGGAAGTCACATGTGACGAGTGGCTACCATATTGGATAGTGCAGACAGAAAATTTCCATTTCCTCAGAAAAGTTCTTTTGGACACTGTGTAATGAGTGGAGGAAAGAGTACCCGGCAATGTTCCTTTGGTGGTGTCTAGACTGTTGATTTTCTGGGTAGCTAGGGGTTCCTAGCTCTGCTTGTCATAGCTGGTTCTAGGCCTGAGAAGGGCACTTTACTACTCTGTTTAAAAGTAGACAGAGGGAGAAGATGTGGGGAACATGGTTTTTCTATGTAGCCCTCTGTAGAGGGTGGGAATTCAGCATGCTGCTCCTTGGCTTCACAGGCCACGCCCGAAAGTCCTGGCTTCGAGCCCTTCAGACAAGCAAGGTCAGCTGTGCTCCCTCCTGTTTCACCTGCCCAGTAGCTGTGGATGCTACTACTAGGGAGGTCCTGCCCGGAGTCCTACAGGTTTGGAGCTCAGGTAGGAGTCCTCCCTTGGTGATCTCTTAGGTACAGTTCTCACCTAACTACCTGGGCAGACAAACCTGACTCCTGTCTCCTATGCCCCTGCAGAATCGGCTGAACCCCCAGGCACTTACGTCTCTCAGGGCCATCTAGATGCAACTTCTCTGTCCACTGCAGCCCACCCTAAAGGTATAGCCCAAATGTGGGGAAAGGGTAGCTCAAGGCTGAGGGACTACCAGTTGACACTGGCTGGCCCCACCACAAAAATTCAGGGAGGCTCTCTGGTAGGCACCTGGGACCTGGACCAAAATGACAACTCCAAGTCAGCTTTGGGGGAGCCAACAACTCCCACTGGAGGTCCTCACCACCTGCCCTATCAGCCTTCCTCGAGGCTCAGTCTGAGCCGCCGACGGAGACTCTGTAGTCCCAAGGCTGGCCAGGCCAATGGAAGCAACAGTGGAGGCATCGACCACRACTACATGCCCTTGGTGAGGACTCGGGAGGTGGAGGGTAGTGTCACCAGAGCTAGAGTGATGTCTCAGCTCACTTCTCCCCCCACCTCCTCTCTCCTCAGGTGCGGCTACAAGAAGCACCAGGCTCCTTCCGTCTGGATGCATCCTTCTGTGCTGCTGTGCATATTCCCCAGGAGCGCCTGTGTCGTGCTTCACCCTTTGCTGCGCACCGTGCCAGCCTCAGCCCCACCTCTGCCTCATCTCCCTGGGCACTTCTGGGCCCTAGTGTTGGCCAGGGTGACAGTGCCACAGCCTCTTGTAGCCCGTCCCCCAGCTCAGGCTCAGAGGGTCCAGGCCAGGCAGACAGTGGGCGGGGTTCAGATACCGAGGCTTCGGAAGGGGCGGAAGGGATAGGAGGCTCAGATCTTCGGGATCGCACCTGGGCCACAGCTGTGGCACTTGCGTGGCTGGAGCACCGCTGTGCGGCTGCCTTCAGTGAATGGGAACTGACAGCAGCCAAGGCAGATTGCTGGCTGCGGGCCCAGCACCTGCCTGATGGTCTTGACCTGGCCGCCCTCAAGGCTGCAGCCAGGGGACTCTTCCTGCTGCTACGCCACTGGGACCAGAACCTGCAGCTGCACCTGCTGTGCTACAGCCCAGCAAATGTGTGAGGGCCGCCCTCCACTGGGACTGGTGTCCCCAACATACTCAATTCACTGCCGCCCAGGCCGTCTGCTCGGTGCTGGGAAGAGGTAGGCTGGTGTCAGCCTGTCCTCCATTGCTTCTCATTCCCTCCCTAGAAATCCTCTTACCTTCACAAAAAGTGCCTGCCAGTGCTCTCTCCTTCTCCTCCCACCCTGTGCCCCTTCCTCTGTGTAGCACAGGGGAAGGAGAGAGAGCCACAGTCCCCAAATCCTATGCAATAAAGTGCCTCTTAGGACTGCCTGAATAAGCTCTTTATCTGCTGGGTACATACCCCTCACAGCCTGGTCCAGGCACCAGCTACTCCTATCTCCATGTAGGCTGCACAGAAGTTGACTTGGAAAGGTTTATTTGAAAGGGCACAGAGTCCATTCCACCAGGGTCCTGAGAGTGGACTGGAAGGAAAGGGGTAGATTTCAGTGGGCTTTCTTGATGTGCTGGATGTTCTTGGGGAAAGGCTGTGGGCCCAGCCAGAGCTGCAGCAGGATGACAGCATGGCATATGTGCAGGGCAGCAGAGCTGCAGGATGTAGATGGGTATGTATTCCAGGAGAGCTCGATGAGCCCCAGCACCAGCAACCTAGAGATCAGAAACAGGCCCCAGTTTTGGTCCAGTTTCAAGACCAACAGTCCTTTGACTTCTCATGCCCTAGACACATCCCCTAGCCCTTCCCACTCCCCCAGGCTGTCCCAGCCAGTACCTGAGCAGGTGTGTGAGCCAGTGTGCAGGCATGGCCCACAGGAGGTAGGGCAGTGTGTGGAAATACCAGACATAGAATTGGTAGTGGAGAGAGCGGCTGAAGCAGACACCAATGAAGTTGGAGGTGAAGAGGGTAGAAACAATCTGTATGGGTTGGTCAAGGCCAAGGGCAGGAATAGAAGGTATAGGAGTTGGGGGGGGTGTCCCCAACAGGGCAAAAGTTTTGGGGTCAGAAAGCCCCCTGGTTCTGCCATTCCTAGATGCATACCCTGGGCAAATTTCTCAACTTCTCTGGACCTGTTCCTTAATATAACAGGGAGATGGTAATACCTAGGACCATAAAGCCTAGTGAGTTTGAATCTCTCYACTAGCTATGTGATGCTACTTAACCTCTTAAAGCCTTTATTTTGCTTTTTAGAAAATGAAGATAATAAGWGTGTCTCCTTATCTCTTGTAAGCTTCAAATGTTTGAATGTATATACATCTTAGGATACCAGGCAGGGAGTGTGTACACTATCACAGAAGCTCAATATTTAGAATTAAGAATAAACTGTCAGGTGCAGTGGCACATGTTTGTAATCCCAGCTGCTCAGGAGGCTGAGACAGGAGGATCATGAGTTCAAAGTCAATCTCAGCAACTTAGTTGAGGCCCTAGGTAACTCAATGAGACCCTGCATCTAAATAAAATATAAAAAAGGGCTGGAGATGTGGCTCAGTGGTAAAGTGGCCCTGGGTTCAATCCCTGGTRCCCAGAAACAAAACAAAACAAAAGAATAAACTAAGCTTTGATACGTAAAGTGCTCAGTACAGTGTTTGGTACAGAAGAGGAGCTTTATGAATGGGTTCCCCTTCACTCCCCCAGGTTATCAGCCATCTGAGGTCAACAGACCTGAGACCCCACCTTGCACCTGAAGAGTACAAAAGACTTACCTTTCCTATTTAAAGGATATGATTGGGTGTGAGGGGCTGGGGTGGAACCTTCCTTTTGGAGGGATCCTTCAGCAGCGACAGGATACTTTCCCCAGTCCTGGGGAGAAGTCATTCAGACATTTATCAAGCTTCCATCGTGGGCCAAACTCTAGACTCATCCCCATGAGTTTAACATCTCCCCAAGTAGCTCCTAAAGCTTAGGCCTTTCCCCCAACCCTGTGCATCGCACTGCCTGTTTCTTACCTGTGCCATCTGCAGAGGGCAAATAGCAAGAGCAGGGTGAGGTGGGCAGCCAACAGGGCCAGGTGGAAAGCTCTATGCAGGAATAGGGCCTCAGGGAGGAAGCGCCAGTTTACTGTCCAGCGGAAGAGAAACTGGCGGCCAAGATCAAAGGAGCGGGATAGATAGCCAATTGGGTTCTCCAGCAGGAAAGGGAGCCCCAGCACCACCTGAGAATGAGTGTGATGTCAGAAGAGCTGCCAAGGCTTACCCCAGCCTCCATGATAATCAATGAGGGGAGTGGGAGTGGATGGAGGTCTCAGAGGTTCCCTAATTTCTATCAGGAATAGTAAAAAATCCATCCTCCACAACCACCTCAGATTAGAGCCTCGMACCAAAGAGGCTCTGATCTGAGCTTCTTTGCAGGTAATAACAGGAAATAATCCTAACCTGATGCTTTAAGGTTAGGATTAACCAACTCACAAGTAGACAGAACTGGAAAGCCTCTCAGAGGCCAACTACTTCAACAGTCTTATTTTAGAGTTAAGGAAACTAAAGCTGCCCATCTCAGAATCAACTCCCAAACCCTGTCTCTCAGTTTGAGAAAGTCTCAAGTAACAGAAGAAGGTCAGATTAATGGCCTCCTCATCCATAAAGGGAAGGGTGAAGAAGGGATACCTGAAGGACAGCACAGATGCCCAGCTTGGGGAGGGCACCACGGAAACCAAACTGCGTAAGGAGAAGGAACAGTAAACCAGGGGCGAAGAGTAGCACATTCATCTTCACGGAGACCGCCAGGCTGAAGTGGGTAGGGGAGAGGAAGGGTGAAGATCAGTTTCAAAACTCTTTATCCTGCCTGAAGATGTACCACCATCATCACAGCAATTCCTGGCCTCCTACCAGCAAGCTTCAGGATGAGGTCYTCACTCAGAACTGCTGAGGGAGGGTTAGGTAGCTTGGGAGGAGGCTGGAGGAAGGGGACAGGTATGTAGTCCCTCTGCCCAAACTGAATGAGCACATACTGATGTATTTAGAAGTTCAAGGACCAACCCCAACACTGGATGAAGAGAAAGAGGGGAAGAGGGCTATACGTGGAAGGGACATGGAAGATAGAGGCTTTCTAGACTTGCTTGTGGAGCCCTGAGTGACCTACATTATCTGTTCACTCCCTTATTCCCTCTGCTACAGAAAACTGGGGAGAAAGAGTTGGAAATGCAGAAAGTGAGAGAAGGGGCCTGAGTGGAGGGGTGTCAACCTGAAACAGCAGCAGCCCCAGCCCCAGCGCTGGGCCAGGAAGAGGTTGATACTGAGGAAAAGCAGCGCCATGGCCACTGGGTCATTGAAGAGCCGCAGCACGAAGATGGAGTGGACCCGGTAAGAAGCGCAGCACATGAAGAAAAAGACGAAGGGAGGTACCTGAGGGATGGGCACGGTGGGGAATAAGGTCAATTCCCCCAATCTGAGCCATCCCCATAACCCACCATCCCAGGTTGGGACCCTCTGATTCTAGCATGGACTCACCTTACAAGTCTGGTGGTAGATTAAGAAAACGAGTAGCAAAGTCACCAGGTAAAGCACAGCAAAGATATTCTGTGCCATGCGRATATCAGTGCCCTGGCCAGTGGCATAGTATAGTCCCATAAAGATGTACACGAAGCCAGCTGGGTAGCTGGAAGATGAAGGGGAATGTGAGACTAGGTCAGGCTAATCAGCCTGATACCCAGCTAGCCCTTCACATTCTCCCTCAACCTCCTATAATAACTCACACAAGAGGTCCAGTGTCACCCTGCAGTTGTGTATAGTCATATGTGCCATTGATGACGCCTTCCACCTGGGCCATGTAGGCCTTCCAGTCAATCTCTGTGTCTGGAAGAGGATAAGATGGTCTGGTTAATTTTGAATCCAGAATTTGCCTGCCCCAAAGCACCAGGCCTCCAGAACATCAAAGCGGAGTTCCAGCTCATTCCCAGGACTTCCATCTCCACTCCTTATCTAACTGCCTACTCGCTGGGTGAACTCAAGCATCTCAAACTATGTGTCTATAATTGAACTCATGATCTTTCCTCCCACTCCAAATCTACTCTCTTTCTTGGGTTTCATTAATAGAACAACCAACCTCCTACCTGCCCAGGTCATCTTTGATACATTTTCCTCCTTCATTCTAACCCTTGGTCAACAAATTCTGTTTTTTTCATCCTAAAGATCTCTAGTAGTTCATTTTTCTCTGATACTACATAGTCAATTTGGGGTCTAACATAATCTGTAGCCTCGATAACAGTATCCTAATTAGGCTCCTGGTTTCTACTTTCACTCCACTACAATGTATATTCTACCCTGCCCAAAACAGTTTTCTCGAAATAAAAATCATTATGAGGTCTCTCTACTTAAAAACCCTTCAGTGATTTCCCAAGGCTCTAAAGATCGATCTTTATTATTCCTATTTTTTAGAAAAGGAATCTAAAAGTTAATTAGGTTAAATGACTAACTTAAGAATTAGAAAGGATAGAGTTGGGGGCCCCAAGTTTTTAACCACCATGCTGTCTCCTTACAACACTGTTAAATTTCTTTATGATCTGATCTCGACTTGTACAATCTGCTCTCTCATTACTATTCAAATCAGTTTTGACACTGCAGCTCTAAAAAAAATAAGTTCTTCAAAGGAATCATTCTCTGTTTTGACTGGAGGTTTTTGGTACAAGATCCTCTCTGCCATCCCTTTCCTTCCTTATTCTTTCCTTTTCTGGCTAGTTCTTACATACCTTTCAAGAGGGGCTCTATGAAACTTTCCCCTACTCCTGGTGTCTGGCCCTCCTAAGTCATTGCTGCCCTTCCCCACCCACCATCAGGGATTAAGCCCAGAGGTGCTTAACCACTGAGCCACATTCCCAGCCCTTTAAAAAAAATTATTTTATTTTGATACAGGGTCTCCCTAAGTTGCTGAGGCTGGCTTTGAACTTGCAATCCTCCTGCCTCAGCTGCTGAGCCACTGGGATTACAGGCAAGTGCCCCCGTGCCTGAACCCTCCTAAATTCTTATAACACTCTGTCTTATTACTATCAAGATGAATATGATACATTATAATTACCTACTAACATCTTAGTTCAGACCCATATGCCCAAGTCATAAATACATCTCTCTTATTCACCACTGTACTTGTGGCACATAACATAATGTTAGGTAATTTAAAAAAAMGAGAAGAAAACATAATGTTAGACATATGACAAGCACTCAATATGTTCTCAATGAAAAAGTCCTTAACAAGAAACAGAGGTGCCTCAAGYCCAGAGTGTAGATTCAGCCTGGAAAGAACAACTAATAATGCCTAACAGATTCAAGTGGTCACAAAATGCCATCATAGAGAAGGGACTTCGAAGACCTCAGAATTTAAATGGTTGATAATGTCAAGATCCCGGAAGGGAAGTGACGTGTCCAAGTTACAGAGACAAGCAGCAGTAGCATCACACTAAYTCTGACCCAGAACTGACTTCCAGGTTGCTTTTTTTTTTTTTTTTTTAGCCTGGCAGGCTGTATGATCAGGGTAGAAGGCCAACCTTTAGGGTTGCCCCTCGTCACGGGAGCAGGATTAAGGTCACCCTGCCTGTGGAGCAAGTTTGGGGCTCCGATAAAGGATATGACTCTACAGATGATGAATGAGTGCTCTAGAGGTTACTTTTGAGTCCAGGTCTAGGACCCACTTTAGGGTAGGGGTTCGGATCTCCCTCCCTCCCCCCCTCCATTTCGGCGCACTCACATGCTACCCTGTGAATGACCCAGAAGGTGATGCCCACCTCTGCCAGGCAGAGGCAGGAGGCCACCCGCAGCGTGTAGCGCGGCTCCCAAAGCAATAAGCGCCGCTCTTGCCAGGCGCGTTGTAGCCATTGTCCGCAGACTCCCGCCGGCTGGGCCGCGGAACCCGCCCGGCTGCGTTTCCGCAGCCCAGCCGCCATGTTGACGGTGCGCCGCTCTAGTTGGTCCACCACCCCGGAAATCCAACCCTTCGACACTTCAGTTCCGTTCCTCTTCTCCAGGTCTAACATCAAACTTAGCGCTKATCCAAATAGCCAGAATACTTTACGACACTAAAATTTATTTCTTTCGTATCTGTCTCCTCCGGCGGAACACACACCTCGAAATAGCAGGAACAAAGTTTTACTCCTCAGTATATACCCAGTCCTGGGCACAAATGCTCTAATACAGAACGAATGTCTGCTCCGAAAAACAAAAGTTCTGTTCTTCGCAAGCCAAGCATTCCACTTCCCCTATGCTGGGAATACTTGTGTTCATGCTGGAGGCCAAAGTCGGTCTGCACCCATCCCCGCTTCCCTTCTGAGCCTTCTAGGTGCTCAAGAACTGCTTGGGAAGAAGTGAATTTTCAGTTTGTTTTCAGTTACTAATGGAAGGAGCCGTTCAAACTGAAACATAAGAGGGCAATGGTGAGCCTGAGAAGTCTGGCGCTATAAGTGTGGCCCGTGAAGGCGACTAAGCAGTACAACCGGAAGACTGCGAAAGTAGACGATGATTCGGTTTTCCCAGCCGGAGGATTCTTCAAAGAGCGCTTAGCAGAAGACGGAAGTTCCACGTGTTTGTGTTGAGCAACTGCAGGTGGTGGGCGGAGACACAAGGGCCCCGCCCACCACATCCCACCCTCCGGATTGGCTGCGTAGGTCGGGTACTGGAGAGTGCCTGGAGAGTGYCCGGAGAGTGCCTAGGGCATGGCCTCTCCCTGGGCCCCGGCCCCCGGGCCGGAGTTACCCGATCAGAACTTCGAGTACTGCGAGGTTCAGTACTGGGACCAGCGCTACCGAGGCGCGGCGGACTCTGCGCCCTACGAGTGGTTCGGGGACTTCTCCTCCTTCCGTTCCCTCCTAGAGCCTGAGCTGCGGCCGGAGGACCGTATCCTCGTGCTAGGTGGGTATCCCCAGAGCTGTCCCGGCCAGGAGATCAGGCTGCATCAGGCCTGATCTGACCTCATCCGCTTTCTCCTTGTCTCTTTGCCCCTCTCAGTGGACTCCAGTGGGAAGCTAAGATCCAGTACCTCCGAATCCAGCTGTAGTTAGCCAGGGCAAACAGGAGTGATCCTGGACCCTGTTCCGGACTCTTGGGTAACCTCTGGCCCTGGAGAAGGCAGAGGACCTAGTTCAAGTCCCAATACAAATTGGCAGTATAACTTAGGACAAGTAATGAATCCGTTGTGAGCGTCAGTTTCATTTTTAGAAATGGGACTAGGATTTCATACGAGATAATACAAATGCAGGCATCTCGAGCACTTTGCTTAGCGCTTTTCTTTTTGCGCCAGTTGGCACCAGGAACCATTGATACCTAGAGGGAGTTAGCACTCTCCAAACCCTGACTGAAACTTTGTCCTATGCTCAGTGTGAAGTGAAGGTAAAAACAGCGCCCTCTGAGATCGAAGTGGAGATTGCGGCCGAGATTGGTGTGATTTCCTGTGGAAAAGAGGTGCTGGGATGCAAAGTAGGGCTCTGAGAGGTCCAGTTGCCCCACTAGGAGTTCTCTTCCTCTGTCAGCCTTGGAGGCACATAGTGAAGCTTGAATGGAGCAAAGGTCTTCCTACCAATTATAGTTTTTATTTTTCAGCGTCAAAGTCTTTGTAAGTGAAATATTTGATACCTGTAATACCATATCTATGTAAGATATGAATAATAAATCTGATGCGTGTGTGTGCACTTAGGACTAGAAAGAAGTATAACCTAGTGGTGAGGAATTTGGGTTCTGGCCAGGTGCAGTGTGATCCCAGTGAATCCGGAGGCTGAGGCAGAAGGATTGCAAGTTTAGTGCCAACCTCTGCAATTTAGTGAGAATCTCAGCAATTTAGCAAGTTCCTGTCTTAAAATAAAAATAAAAAGCATTAGGGATATACTCCATAGTAAAGTGCCCCTGAGTTCCCTCCCAGTACAAAAAAAGAACTTGGACTGTGGAAGTTGCTAATCATGTTTGGAATTTGGCTCATCTAATTCTGGCTGTGTGTTGTCATCAAAGTACTTAAATTTCTGTACCTCCATATTCCCAGCCTCTAAAAAATGAGTACTTAAATATTGATTTTCTAAGGTGATTGAATGAATGTGAAAGAGCAAGGCCTGGCACAATAAGCCTCATGTATATTTAAGGTTTTCTGTGTAATTCCTCCCAAAACCCCTTCTCCCAGAGGTAAATGTTCATGAATTTTGTGATTGTAAACTAAATGATTTATGTATAGATTTACCATAGAGCTATTTTTTAAAGATGTAGAGTGCATCAAAATAACCTGGAAAGCTGGACCCCCACCCTGAGATTCTAATTCCAGGGATGGGTTCTAGGAATCTATTTATTTTCTCCTTCCTTCCTTCCTTCCTTCCTTCCTTCCTTCCTTCCTTCCTTCCTTCCTTCCTTTCTTCTCTTTTCTTTTTTTATTTTTTGTACCAGGGATTGAACCCAGGGATGCTTAACCATTGAGCCACATCCCCAGCCCTTTTTATATTTATTTAGAGACAGGGTCTCACTGAGTTGCTTAGGACTTCACTATGTTGCTGATGCTGGCTTTGAACTCATGATTCTCTTGCCTCTGCCTCCCAAACTGAGGAATCTATTTTCAAGAAGCCCCACAGCTGATTCTTATGCTGGCGGTTGGCAGAGTAACTCTGTCTTAAATTAAATCTGCTTGACTGAGAGTAGCCTTTTCTGGATAGGAGGGGTGAAAAGTCTAAAAATCAAAAGCGAAGAGTTTTCAGAAAGGATCTCCAAAGATTTAACAATAGGACCCTCGACATGGGGTGTACCATATGTTACATGCCACCTTAACAAACATAAGGTATCTGGTAGATGCCATGGAACATGCTGGGTCCTTTCTGACTTATTTAATCATTCCCTAAAGGTAAGTTAAAAGTATTAAGAGTCAGGCTGGGGATGTGGCTCAAGCGGTAGCGCGCTCGCCTGGCATGCGTGCGGCCCGGGTTCGATCCTCAGCACCACATACAAACAAAGATGTTGTGTCAGCTGAAAGCTAAAAAATAAATATTAAAAATTCTCTCTCTCTCTCTCTCTCTCTCTCTCTAAAAAAAAATATTAAGAGTCTTATTCAGAACATGGCTGGATGGTAAATATTTTAAACTTTGCAGTCTCTGTTACAGCTACTCAGTTTTGCTATTGTACTGTACAAACACATACATAAGAATAGCCATGCTCTAATAAAACTTAATTTACAAAAGGAGGTGGTGAGCTGGATTTGGCAACCGCTGCTATGGGTCATTGCTATGGATTTCTCAAGAGCAATTTCTCATCCTGAGATGAGAATCATGTCCAAGTCATTTGTTAGATAAGAGCTCCCAGAAGATATTGGTGAGAAATTGGGGTAACAAAAGGGAAGAAGCCAAGCAAAATTGTGATGTCAGGCAAAGTTTCCCTAAGTGTAATTTCAGCCTGAAGAATCACAGATGCAAACTTCAATGCAAACATATACCACAACCTAGGGACATAGAAAAATTGCTTAAAGGACTCCGAGGAGATCTGGTCAGAGTATTGACAGTGTCTACCACTATCATGCAGCAAGGTGAAGTAGGGTACACTCTGACTCCAGAGCTTCTAGTTCTGCTGCTGCACCACACAGATGGGTGAGAGATATCTAGCATTCTGTTGAAACTGGTCCAGTGACTACATTGTGAATTATAGCTTAATGGTCTTATTGATAAAGATGAAATGTCACTACTGAAGGTGAGTGGGCCTCTCAAAACTTGGAAGGTAGTTGAGCATTGTGATTTAAGAGCTCTGGCTCTGGAGTGAGGCAGGTCTGGGTCCAAATTAGGACTCTACATCTGACTGTAGTCTTGGGGTATGTTCCTTATCCACGTTTCTCAATTTCCCCATCTAGGAAGTGGGAATGTTAATATAATAGTATCTTCTATATGGATCTATTGTGAAAATAAACAGACAGTTCTTATGAAATGGTTAGCATAGTACCTGTTTTTTAATTTCAGTTACTGGCTAATAATCACTGTTATTATTGAACCATGCTTGTGTGTGTGCATGTGTGTTTGTGCATGTGTACATATGCACACATACCCACACATGTTGAGGACCAAACTCAGGGCCTTGTGCATGCTAGGAAAGCACTCTACCACTGAGCTATATCCCTAGCCCTCATTATTATTGAAAATGAAAGTCAGAGAGACAGTTTATCCATGAATGTTTAGAGATCCCGACTGAAGTCTTGTGTGTCTGGTCCCTATAAATAGACTGTTCTCATGGCAGGTGAATGCATATGGATGGCTGTCTCTGCTTTACTGTCAGTATACTTCTCAGATTTTCCATCTTTGCTTGGTTCCATATCCTTTAGGAATCTTCTGATCATAATTTGGCTTCTAGTTTCCTATAGAGAAAAGGGACTGACCAAAGAATTCAACTGTCCAGTTCCAACGATGGCTGTTTTTTGTTATTAATGAATTGGCATTCAGGATTACATCTCAGACTCTTAGTGTTGGGTTAGCATCCTCATAGCTTTGGATCCACATATGATGTGTTCTTGGATTTGGGTCAGTTCTCCAGGGCTTTGCTTCCCTAAGGCCTCATTTAGGAGGCAGTGTTCTTTCCAATCCCTTTCTTAATTGTGGACCCAAATCACTGAGGCAGAAATCACTGCTTTGTAAGTGTGAAAGTTTTCTTAAAAAATGCCATCCAGTGCTTGCAGGTCCAACATGGGGAAGCATGTGTTAGGCTTTACCAGGCAAGATAGTACTCTCCCTGAGCCCCAGGGCCTGAGGAGGAGCATGGGAAGGGACTGCTGAGGACTGGTGAGCTGTTTCTGGATGCTCTGTCTAGGTGCCAAGCTCTGCYAGATTAGGGATATCTCAACAATTGATCCTGTGATCCTCTTAGGGAACCAAATGAGGGTTAAAATGAGACTAATTCTAAGATCCAACATCCCCTMCATGGGACTGCCAAGAGCTATCATCCTGTCCCATTCTCAGCCTGAGACTGGCCACAGGGTGGCCTGGCAGAGACCACTGGATATTTTAAAGTAGTCATGTCCACTGTGATATAGATCCACATCTACTCTAAGCTCTACCCTTCTCTAACCGTTCCTCTTTGAGATTGCATTCTAAGCATTTCCCATCAGTGTTGTGATTCTCCAAGATACTGCTTGTTAGCTCCCCTAAAATTGTTGGCTAATCCACCTGGGGTGGGATCAGGGTTTCTTTGTGCTCCCACAGCCTGTCCCTATTGAAATACTTATTGTATTATGTGACAGTTGCCTGTTTCCATGTTTTTCCTTTCCACCAGAGCATGAGTTTCTTGAAGGAAGGCACTCTTATTCATCAACAGAGACCAATATGTAGCATTCAATATGTACATGAGGGGCTGAAGTTGTGGCTCAGTGGTAGAGTGCTTGCCCGGCATGTGTGAGGCACTGGGTTTGATTCTCAGCACCACATTAAAAAAATAAATAAATAAAATAAAGCTATTGTGTCCATCTACAGCTAAAATTTAAAAAAAATATATGTACATGAAAAATTATAAGAGATCAACCCTGCTGTGTGTCCCCACCTAGTTTACCCTCACT